CATTTTTTTAGAAACAAATTAAAAGACATCTGATAGATAAACAGATACAATACATAATAAATCATATACTAATTCTTAGTATAGAATACTTATATAATGATATAATTCTATTAGAAAAAATATAAAATTTTCTAATAAGTGGCCTTAATGAAATCTCTAAATACAAGTTAGGATTGACAAAAACAACTTAAAATAATATGCTCTTCTATAAATATAAATGCAATTTAATATATCTGTGAAACAGAAAATTTTTACTATAGGACAAATAAAATTAATAAAAGAAATATAGAAGAAAAATAGTAAGATCTTGATCATAAACACTACAAAATAAATTTTAATCAATAAAGCTAGTTACAAATGAAATGACACATCTATAGAAAAACTTTGAGAAAAGTCCAATATACAGTATAATACTATCTGGCTAATAAGAAGACATGACTTTACCTTTAATATAAAAAAAAAATCAAAGGTTTTATACTTATTTAAGAAATAGACACCTCCATAGAGGATATACTAAGTAAATATTTCTATTCTGAAAATCAACGAACCTGCAAAGATATAATATTCTCTTTATTGGAAATCTAATGAATATAAATAAATCCAAAACACTAAAATAGTATCAGATTATTAGAATAATTAAAAAAGCAGTTCCTGAGCTAATATCTAGATAGTTCCTTATTGTCAGCAATAAGGTCAAAACAATGATAGAAGAGGAGAAATTTTTATACTCACAAACAATAATAAATACCCTCAAATAAAAGAATCTTATTACAAAATACAACATAATCAAATCTTATTGGATATATACACAAAAGGCAAAGAAATCTACAATTAGAAAAAAAATATCATAAAATAGATCAGAATATAACCAAATATTTGCATTATATCCAGAACTCAAATACCTTCTTTGAAAGTATATAAAAGATATGAAATTAATATTTTGAATAATAATTAGGGGAAATATGGTTTTATATCCTCCAAGCAATAATCAATTATTATTATTATTATTTTTTTAACCCATAATCATGCCACAATAGCATGTCTTTATTGAAAAATTGAAAATGAATTTACAATATTTTACAGACTTTCACAAAGTAACTAATTCGTCTTAATAAAAAGTACTCTAAGTCAGATTTTGGGACAATATTTCACTCCCCTAATAGATTGATAATAACCTCTATCTATTAAGATTATTGCCAACAGTTTGTTACTGTTGATTGCCCAAAAACCAATGAATTGCTAAGTTAAAAGGGGAAAGGAGAATAACGATTTGGAAAAGGGAACAATTCAAGGCCCATCAAAAAAATCCAAAAATAAAAACAACCTCTTCTCAAAAGGGTTTTGCCTGATTTAAATAGTCTTTTTGCTTCACTTAAATCTCAGAAGAAATCTTCTTTTTTATCACCTATAGCATTGGACAAGTCAATCCAACTGATCTTTCATTTAAGTGAGCACTGGATTAGGATATCTCAAGAAAAGCATTTAGACCTCAGCTTTTTTCATTAAAGCTTTGTCATTACTTGAGGAACATAGGTAAGAGATAGGAGTTTGCAATCAATATTACCTATCACTTGGTCTTTTGATGTTATAAAAGTTTTTATTGAGGGATTTGAGCTTTTTGGGGGAAACTATTTCCAGAATCTTTTTTCTGATTATTAATGACATTATTGGAACATGTGATTGTGACCAATAGGAGATTGTTTACATTCCAAAAACTAACATGTTTCATGTTAGTCAATCACCTTTGGTGAGGATTTGTGCTATCAAAAATTCAGGGTCAAACTGAGATAGGCAAAATTCTCTAGAAAACCATAAAAGTGATAGCTCTAAGATGCCCAACAGTAACTGGAAGGGAAAAAATAAGTCCTTCTGTCATCAAAAACCTCTATATACCTCTCACTTCAAAGATTAAAAAGGCCTTCAGGTATTTCACAGTCAGTTCTTCTTCCTTGAGAAACTTTCTTGCCATTAGTATCAAAGGTGTTACTTGACTTTTCTTGATTATTAGAAGTCACGTTTTTGAGTGAAGAGGTTTGTAAACAAAAGAGAAAGAGTAAAGGTGACTCTTGAAGTCATACTTAAAGTTGTTTTAATGAAAGTATTAAGACTTTATTAGCAAGGAAGTATAAAAACTTCTTGTGAATATCTTTTTTGTGTGTGGTTAAAGGATTAACAGAAAAAGTTTTTTAATTGATGCAATAATGAATTATTATATTAGTGCAAAAGGGTAAAATATTAATAAGAAAAAAAAAATAAATAAAACAGAAACCATATAAAATAGCAAAGCATCCCCAAACTCTTTGGTCATAACCATAGCAGAACTTACTCAAGCAAATCTCTCCCTTCAATAAAAAATAGTATCAAAAAAGAAATTTCAATAAAAATGCAGACAGGAATCAAAAGACCATAGAAAATTATCTATAGTTCAATTGAGATTATAAAAGCTATAGAAACAATTGAAGGAAAATAAAACTATATTTAAATTTTGATATCAATATTGATGGCTCACTAACAAATTTTAATGGCAAATTTCACATAGGTCTGAACTGGGTTATAATCATTTCAAATCAGGAAGCATATATCTTTCAAGGATCAATAAAAAGACGTTACTCTTCTAAAAGAGCAAAATAACTGTTATTGTCATCATACTAAACATTCTATCTAAATATGTATAGCAAATATTTATATAGATAGCCAAGTAGCTATCAATAAAATAGAAAAGACTCAAAAAGAAGCTGATAGCAAATCATAAAAAAACAAAAAAATTCAAATATTCTCTTATATATAAAAGATCTACAAAATAAAGAAAACTAAAGATAACACTTCACAAGTAAAAGGTCACTCGAGAATATAACAAAATAAATGGCAGATTAGTTAATTCAAATAGATCTCTGGCAAGGCATGAGTTCAAGAGAAAAGGAATAAAAATATTATGAACAAAAAATTCAAAAATAAAATAATACTATAATAAAACTATATTTCTACTAAAATACTGATAAAACTTATACAAAAATTCATGATAGCAGTCTACTTAGCAAAATGGCATCTTCTGAACAGAACCAAATGCAACTTAATTAAGCAACTAATCAAGGAAATAAACTAACAATTAACAATGGAACACTTGTAACTTCTCAAATAAACAATCCCTATATAGACTGGGAGGCTTAGAAGCTAAGAATATTTTGTGTCAGTATCTGTAACAATAAATTATCAACTAAAAGTGAACTTAATAAAGGTTATTATCAATATATAGAAACAACAAATACAACAATTATAGTAAGCCAGAAATAAGCATATATCCTTTTCTTTGTTAACAAAACAAAACAAAAACTAAGAATTTTATAATTAACACAATACAATAAGTATAGAGAACTATATAGCGAAAGAAGAGTCACAAATGTTCACTTCATAATTCTGAAACCAAACCAACCTAAAATTCAAGGAATACTTGACAGCAGTATTAGAGATATCTTTAAAGAATATACAAGAAAAAAGTAGCTATTCCAAATTGAACAAAAAAAAAGAGAATGCACAACTGTAATTCTATAAAATACCTCCATCAAGTTTGACAAGAAATATGTAAGGCCTTTTAAAAATGAAAAGCCAAAATAGGAATCATAAGAAAGAAAAAGAAATTGGTCAAATATGAAACAAAAAAAGAAAAGATCAGACTTTCCCTCAAGAGTGAAATATATAAAAAACCAATTTATATAACTGGTAAATAGTTTTATAAAGCAATGAATCACAAACTTAGTAGACAACTTTTACATATTCAAAATTTCTTTTAGCACTAGCCCAACCTTGGCAAGTTTGTTTTTCATAAACAGTGTGCCAACAAGCTACAAGGTAAGCTCCTTTCAGAGGAAATGAAACTTTATTGAGTTTTGTTTGGAAGCAAATATGAAGTACTTTCTAGGGTATCTTTATGCAATGATACTGTATAATTTAAATAAAACAAGGCTGATCTATCATTTTAAAAATAAAAAATAAAGAAATTATATGTATAATTTCTAATATATTAAAAAATAACCATTAAATTTAGTAGCAGAAATATATAAAGATCATAAATAATTTTATTAAGAGCTCTATACATTTGAGACAAAATAGACAAAGAAAATATATTAAGCTTATTTATTAAAATTATATTCATATTGTTGAGAATTATCTATACTTTCCATATAATAGCTTCTAATTTTAGTTTATTAGACTATTTAGAGCTTATTTGTTTTAGTTTTTTTCTTTTCTTTTCTTTATATAATAAATTTTGATTTAGTATAACTCTTCGATAAAAATGTGTCTCTAAAGGAAGAGGTAGGGACAAAAGTAATGTCACCTACTACAAAAAATTTAAATTTTTAATTAATAACTAAAAGACTGATCAAAATAATTGTTTGTAATCTAAATCATTGATTTATAGAATTTTTTAAATTTGTCTCTTGCTGTGAAAAACTTTAAATTTTATCCTTCAAAATGGGATGTGAACAAAAAAATTTTATTTCTTAAATACTTTAGGGACTCATAATTACTCTTCAATATTTCATCTTTCCTGTTTTGCAAGATAATAAATTGCAAATTAAAGATTTTTTTTTAAAAATAAGTAAAATTGTAACTTTGTTAGATATTCTGCTTTATAGTATACAATTTAATTGTTTCACCTAGAATAAACTTAGAATTGTTAATAATTTTACATCCTGGTAATTGCCCATGTAATTTTCAATAATCGCGTCACATTATCATTTTTAAGCATAATAATAAATAAGATTATATACTGTATTTATTTTCAAATATTAAAAAATTATGAATTATTTAAGTAATAAGGTTTGTATCATGCTTTAAAATATTAAGTTTAAATTTTTAAATAATAGATTTACTATAAAGAGAATGTGATTAACATGGTTATTTCAAAATTTGATGTATTTAAAATTTTTATAAAATTTTTATAATAAATCACCAACTATAAATTTCACGTTTTTTTTTACAGATGATAGTCAACTACATTATTAAATTTCTAAACTTGCCAATTTAGAATCAAAATTATGATTTTGCATATATAACGGCTCAATACCTAATGGTCTACTTGTATGGAACGCTTCAGGGTGTTTTTCTATATAGGAACTTTGCCGCGGTTTTTCTTCCATTAAACGTTTTCGAAGTTTCTCGGAATTACAAAATTCATTTATATCATCCATGTCCCAAAACCATTTGTAAAATTGATTCACAATTTCAGTCATAGTTGGTCTGTCAGATGGTTCGGAGCTCCAGCACTTATTAATTAAATTAGCGAAAGGCCGTGGCGTATCTTTGGTAATATCAGGTCTCAATCCTCCAATAATCTCACCCATAAGTATTCAATCATGCGGTCTATTTTCGAATGGTCTATGACAAGATGTAAATTCCCACATTAATATTCCGAAGCTATAAACGTCGGATGCAAAATTTGGCGGCGTTTTTTGTAAAACCTCAGGTGCTACATAAGGAAGCACCCCGTAAACTTTTTCAGATTCGGCCTTGGAAAGAGATTCTCTACATAAACCTAGATCAGCTATTCGTACAGATCCTAAAATTCCATTAACTCCTAATAGTATGTTTCCTGAATGAATGTCGCAATGAATCAATCCTTTCGCGTGAATCTGATCAAGACTATAAAGTAATTAAATTAGCATTAAAGAAATAATCAAATATATTTTTAATTTAAAATATTACCCAGTAGCAATATAATATAATTTTTCTATTTTATCCCTCCATGTAATATTCTCAGAATATTTTGATAAATAATTATGCAAACTTCCATCTTCTGCATATTCCAGTATAATGATATCTTCTTTTGTTTTGGGGTCTTTTGTAACGCCAAAGCATTGAACAATAAAACTTTCGCTATTCACGATTCTATGTGATATCAACTATAATATGTAAAAAAATAGTCATTGATAGTTGGATTAATAAAATCACAAATAAAAACAAACCTCTTTCAAGAATTTGGTGGTACAATTGCGTAAAATTTTGAGAGCCACGTTAACTGTTATTCCTGATTTCTGAACATATATCGCCTTTTCTACCCTGCCAAATCCACCTACAGCCAAAGGTTCTCGATTTTTCAATTGAGAATATGGAAACCATTCTATTATGTCACCATTTTTCAATATATCGTAATAGTCACCTGCAGCCAAAGGTTCTCGATTTTTCAATTGAGAATTTGAATCCGATTCTATTACGATTAAATAGTAAAGAACATTAAGAATCTAGTGTGAATGATTTTTGCAAATTAAATATTCCAAGTTTTTATATTAATTTACAGACTAATATAGAAAATCAATCGCAAATTTTACCAAGATATTCAATTTTAGAATTCATGGGCTGCGGAAGATCTTTAAAATTAAGAAGTCGACTAGTATAAATAGCTGACGGATGTTTTTCAGGTTCCACAATGCTATATGGATATTTCTTATTTTCATTTTCTTTAATTTGCTTAAAAAGTTCCGAGTCTTTATATTCCTCATATCTACTCCATGCCCTTAAAATACCACGCATTTCATAAGAACTTAAACGATCCTGGGGGTTGGCATCCAAACACTTTCGCATCAATTCAACCATTAAATTAGGAGTATTTCTCGGAATTTTAGGTCGCTTACCTCGGCAAATTTTATATGCGAGATCACAATCGTGTGGAACAATGCAGAAAGGAGGAATACCAGATATCACTTCAGACATGACAATTCCAAATGCATAAACGTCTGATTCTTCTGTATATTCTTCACCACGTAATACTTCTGGTGCTAAATATGGAAGCACACCATGTACTTTTCGGTTAACTCCGCTATTATCATATTCGACAGCTGGTTTGCACAGGCCCAAATCGGCTATGTAAAATATTCTTTTTCCAATATCAGATAAAAGAATATTTCCGCTGTGAAAATCACGGTGAACTAATTTATATTTATGCATCTGAAATAAACCTTCAGCTATTCGCTTTAAACTGGTTAATTTGTCTTTCCACGATACCTTTCGGAACTCTGCTAAATTCTTTCCAAGACTATTATCATCCATTAATTGCATCACCATCATGAAGTTCTTCGTTTCTTCATGTTGTGTAATCCCATAGCATCTAACAACTCGAGAATAACCTTCTGTACATTCAATACTATTTTTTATCTATAAAATCTAAAATTTAATGCCCATTTAAGAAAAATAAAAAATTATTCGAGAATTACAATCACCTCATTCAAGAGTCCATTGTTGATATCTTTAGAATCGTTAAGACACTTTAGCGCAACCTTTGTTACACCTTTTCTTTTCCATTGGCCAACCTTTGCATTCCAAAAAAGAATGTATCCTTCGGTCCACTTTGCTGAAAAAACTTTTCCATAACCACCTTCACCTATAGCATTTTCATCAACCTTGAAATTTGAATATGGAATCCACCAGCGAATACTTGATGTCTTCCTTTTACATTGATTGCATTCATCTAATATTAAATTAAATTAATATAAGCAGGCAAAGTAATTTTCTTTGGAATTAGCGAAAAATTTTAGAAAATATGCTTGTGAAATCTTACCTATAAGATCAAATAGTTAAAGCACTTTTCGCAAGAATTTCGAAAAATTTGAAAATATGCTTGCATAACTTACAGTCTATAAGTTGATAATAAATAATATAGTTAAATTATTTTTCTACAGAATTTGCGAAAAAAATTTAGAAATATGCTTGTGAAAACTTACCTATAAGATCGACAATCGATAACATAGTTAAAGTACTTTTCATAAGAATTGAGAAACAATTTGAAAATATTCTTGCATGAACTTACCATCTGCAATATCATAAAGATAATATAGTTAAATCATTTTTCTTCAGAATTTGCAAACCAAATTTAGAAAATATGCTTGTGAAA